GTGCTTTTAAAATAGAAATTATTTATCTTTGCTCCTGGATTAAACTTTGTGAAAAGTTATCAACCATTCAGAATAGATCCATGCCTGGCCGATGAAAATCCTACTGGGAATTTTATTGGCTGTAAGTGAAATGCATCAGAAAGTCTTTCAACAATCAAAGCTAAATAAATAGGCCTAACATACTGTATTTGGCTCTTAAATCACTGCTTATAAAAATTCAGTGTTGTCATATTTCGGATACCTCAACAGAATTGAGGTCATTTGTTTTATAATTTTATTTCTGAATGTGTACTTGTCTTTTTTTTGCAAATTCAATTCAGTTTGAAATCAAAGTTGAAATCAAGCTTCATTGTGCTGTAAGCTTTTGCAACAATGTCCTATTACCATATTTTAAAGACACAAATACACAGAATGAGCAAATGTTTAAGATTGAGATTTTTGTAATGGTAATTGATCAATATTTGTATGTAAATGCCTATATTAAAATCTGTTCATCATATAAAGTGAATGTGTCTTTTTAGAAGACTTGGATTAAACCACTCAAAGCTTGATGTTAATAGAGAAACGCGGCAAAACGGTGGTAATTCATACATACACAGCCTCTCTCTCTCTCTGTGTCGTAAATGAACAGTTGATGAATCACACTTTTCTGAGAATAGAACATCGAAGTGGAGATCGCTAAACTGCAACCTAACCAGTGTTTTCAGAAAGCAAACGCGTTTATCCACAGTGGAGAGAGAGCGCGCGTACACATGGTTGCCAGGTTGACAAAGATAAGTAGCCTGTATCGATACTCGTATCGTCAAATCTCTGTGACGATACACCGTCGTATTGATATTTTGAACACAGCACTAGTAATTGATCAATATTTATATGTATGTAAATAAAAGCCTATATTAAAATCTGTTCATCATATAAAGCGAATGTGTCTCTTTAGAAGACTTGGATTAAACCATTTTCAAAGCTTGAATGGATGTATAAAAAAAAATGTAAAATATCTGGCAGTATACAGTATGTGTTAGTTTTGCCAATGGTATTGAAAATGATGAGTCGTCATGAAATCAAAAATGACCCTATACTTACTTTTTAGTGTACATTACTAGTCTTGTGGCGAACAATTGAACCGTGCAAGTCAATACACTGGGAAAAAAAATTGTCTGCCGTCGTAATCTTTAATCAAAAACTGAAAATTGGCTTCTGCTCTGGAATGGCGTTTTCGCTCTGATGACATCAGTTTGACGGCTTTGCGAGAATCCGCTTGTTAAGTATGATGTAAGGACTTGCTGTTACCGGGTCCATGCCTCTACTAATTTCACTTGAGAATACTATCTCAACAGCCATTTATGAGCATTATTTAATTAATATTACATATTGAAGCTAAGCATCTAAACATGTGCTGTGCACACTACAGTCTCCGTGCTCACAGTGTCTCAGACACTAATATTTTAGCTGAATCACTGTCTGGTCATCTGGGATTTCAGTATGGAGATAAAGG